CCTCATTCACTACATTTATTTGATTTATTATCGTCGATGTCGCTATAGTATTTGAATTATTATCTGATAACATTATTAACATTGAACTCATTAAAATCTATAAAAAAAACTATGATAAATAATTGAAAAAAAAAAAAAAAAAAATTTATAAGAATAAATAATTTAAACACACATACCTTATAAAAATCTCGCAAGTTTTCAGGTGGTGTAAATGGATTAAGATTTTTATGATATACTTTATCATCATTTATGTAAATTTCCTTTACTGTTGCTATACAATAATTGTTATTTCCTTCACTATCAGTTTTAATAGCAATTAGAACATCATCTTTGTTCAATTTTTTTTCTGGAAACTTATTATAAACATCGTTAATTTTTTCCAAAATATGCAAATAATTTTTTGTATTTTTTTTACATAAATCCCACAATTCACGTGATGATTTAAACAGCAATCGGTGAGCGTCTTCAAATAATAAATCGTAATTAACACCACATTTGGCCAAAAATTTATTAGCATTTGTTCCAAAATCAACACACCGAAGGAAATCATTCAATCTAATAAATAAATAAATAAATAGATGAATAAATTCATATATATAATTAGGTAAAAAAAATATATTAAGGTACTTGCCTTTTATCATTAAATTTAAGGTAACAGTCACGTGGTTTGATAAGGTCGACATTAATATTTTTTTTAAGTTTACTTTCATATTGAATTGGAATAAATTCGAAATCTTTAAGCTTCTTCCAATCAGAATCAGTAAAACTTTCTTGTTGTGTATTCAAATATTCAAAAATTTCTTTGGCCTTATTTTTATTTTTTGGTGGGTTCTCAGTTAACCCTTTTATGAGTTCTTCACGATTAGGATTTTGACGAACACCAAATTCTCCTGCCTTAGAACGTAAATCTTGACGTATAATATTGAATCCCATTATCTTACATTTATCATTAATAAAACACCTGTCTCTTATACACATCTAGATGTGTATAAGAGACAGGTGTGATTCAAGATAAAATTTTAAATTAAAAAATAACGC